ACTTGTTTCTGGCCATCTGGAAATAGGCAAGCCGCACTTCCAAAGAGGAGCGGGGATGCAATCTTTCTGCTTTTGTGCTGTGACTGATCTTTTTCAGATAACACGCGGAGACGTATGTTGTGCAGGCCGACATGACCGTAAATGTCGAGCTGAGGAAACAGAGTCAAGTCCTTCGCTTTCCCTGGGCAAAAATTACAACAAATATTGGGACTTTACGCCAAAACGGGTCTGTTCCCATATCCAGAGTGGTCGATAAATATATATTAGGTAAGGCCAACACTAAGTGACACAGGCCGCTGTTTGCACCCCTAAGAAATTGTTGCTACTATGCAAAGTTAACTGGACATTCTTTTTTGTTTATCAGTTGTATTTTTGAAAACACTGGCAGAACAGTGAGGTTTTCGGAAGCTCCATTTAAAGCGCTTCCTATCACCTTTGACTACTATCATGCTTGTTAATTTTTCAGTTGGTATCTTGGCAAGTGGACCGGAGGATTGGTCAAGGGACATGTCGTGAAAATCATGTGAGTACAAGTATTAGTAACAGCAACAAATGTGCAAAGTACTACACTGGAAACGCTATTTGAAAGGAACTCCACGTGATTCATGGTGAAACAAGACATTTTAACATTCATAGTTTAATATATGAGCGTTAGATCAGTAGAGGCATTTTTTAAATAAGTCATGTTGTTTTAGATTCAATAAATTATCCTTAGAGCAAAATTTAGCACATTTGTTCCTAGAACATGGTAATATTCGCCTTTCCGCAATTTAAACCCTTTTATGGCGAACATTGCTTGAACAACTGATTATTTACATTATCTACCACACAAACAAAAACTCAGAGACGTTGTATTCTTTCAGTGTTGTGTCCCAGGAGCGTACTACAAGCTAAAATGTATGTTGCTCATTTCTGTAAAGCATCGAAAAAGCCAATCACTAAGAAGAATACAAGAGTTCTAAACAATGACGATGCTCACAAAACAAATATGCTAATAGCTTAATGTTCTTTGAAAACATGGCGTAGTTCATGTACACAAGACATTCTCAAAATATAATCATGCTTAAGCTTTGCCATTAGCTGAGAACCTGTGTGTGTAGCCATGATTGACTATGTCCGTATTCTGCAGAGCAATGAGCTCACCATGCTTCTGAATGTAAGCTATCAGCGGGTACTATTCGTTTTGATCGAAGTTGAACTGCACCTACAGGCGTCCAGCCCACGTTTTCCCCTTTTGTTATTGTATTCTAATTGTGAGGCGGGGTGTTTTCATGACATAGCATTATGTGCTGCATTGCTGTGTCTAATAAAGAAAAAAAAAGTTATTGTATTCTAGCTGTATAATTGTAAACACAAAACTCCTCAACGGTACCTATGATGTTTTCTTCCTCATCTGACACCAAAAATGTATTTGTCAACTTCAGTGAGATCCTATTGGAAAAGCACAATTTGTATAATTGGGATTATTCTTTACACTTTTCTTCGAGTTATTTCAGGATGTGTGCCCGGCTTTAATGCTTTTGAAAATATTGTCAACATAATTCAGTATCTTCCGACAGAGGGAGCATGAAATACAAAATAGACTACCTCCTAGAAGTTTCAATGCTCTCCTTTTGTTTTGCTTTTGTCATTTTTTTATCCAGGGTGTAAAGTAGTGACATACCGTTTTTTGAATGTTTGGACTAACAGCCCGAACTGGGGCCATCTCCAAAACTGAGAACGACACTGCCCTCCTACCACGAACCACAAATAGATAAACACTGCGAATTTCTCGAACAAGTCCAAGGATGCACATATAAACAACGCTAGTACTAAAAAAAAAGTTTAGAGGCGTAGAAATTGTTTACATTCGTTCCCAAACTGCAATGACGTCTGACTTATACAGTTTCAAGAAGTTTTTAAACGAATCGTTTCTTGGACTACACGTTTCATATCATTACCTTTTTTTTGAATTACTTCCGCTTCAGACCAGTTGGCTTTTCAATTATTACACTCTAGAAGGTGCCTGGCTAACACGGAATCGGACGCGTTGTTTTTCACATTCCGTTTGTGGTCCGTCAGTCTATCATTTAGACATCTCGACGTCTGACCAACGTGTTTAAATCCACACTCCAAAGGAATCTCATAAACCACTAAATTCTCACACGGTACCGACTTCTCGCGATGTGCCTTCTGGCAAACTTCCTGTTTCGATTCAAAAGGTGTAAGCTTGCATAACTTAAAATAGGATGTGTGCATTGTTTCTACGCCAAACTTTTTCGACTACGCTTTTATGTTGGTTCATCCCGCTTGCCTCTGATTTGAATAGAAAGTTGCCGTTTAAAAAAGTCTCCTCATGCCCCGCGTCCTCCAGTCTACCCCATTGTCTTTTTAAAGCTTGACTCATGAAATGGGTACATGCCCTTTTTAGCGCATTAAACCAATTAATGATTTCGCAAATCCCGCCTTAATAATTGTAGAGTGACAACTTTGTTTAGGAAGAACCGTTTTAGCCATCTTCTTACCATATTCCCAACATAAGCCATTTTTTACCTGAATGCGCAAGTCCAAAAACTGAAACATGTTCTCCTCTGATTTTTCTACTGCGAAATGCAACTCCGGGGCCGCTGACCGAATAAGCTTTTCAAGATAACCCGATTTTCCTTCTTCAAACGTGCAGACAAAAATATCATCTACATATCTTTTGATGAAGCCCACGTTAGGTGACAACTCAATCATCCTGTCAAACAATACTGCATCCAAACTGTTGAGGTTTATCTCAGCTAACAACGGAGCGACCGACGAGCCTATGCATACACCTTGTTTCTGGATGTATTTTCGATTATTATATTCGAGGACTGTTGACTTTAAATAGAGATCTAACACTGTAAGGAAGCTTTCCACTGTTACGCCCGATCCTGATTGAAACTTTACCAGATTCAACTCTAGCATCTCCTTCACGGCGTTCATCAGCCTCTTATTTTCCAGAGAATAATACAAGATCTTTTATATCCATGGAGAATACCGAACTCTTCCTCCCATGGTTGTCTCCTAAGATCTGAATAAGTTTTGTGTTTCTTAGCGATAAGGATTTGTCTAAACTAACCTGACCTAACCCATGCTGCAGAAACTTAGACACAACTTTTTGCCACGTTCCGTTTTCGTTTACAACCACTCTAAGAGGCATTTCCACTTTATGGTCCTTTAGGAAAAATTTCAAACATATGTACATTTTGGATTGACTCATGCTTTTGACAACTTGCTCTTTATCTTCTTTCTTTAACACTGTGCATATGTCCCTTCTCATCTTTGCCAACTTTCCGTTCCTGTCCTTGAACAATACGCTTATGGAATTTTCAGCTTTGTTCACCTAACGTCTGGAATGCGAGGCACAGAAACTCGGGCTGCTGCTACAGGGACAACCGCGACCACGGCGGGCCCATCGACGGAAGGCCTTCAAATTGTACTGGACCTGAACTCCCTCGGCAAATTGAAAGAATTTGGAGTTGCGAGGGAAGATATCGTAAGGCTCTTTGTAAGCTTCTTGACCTACCTCGCTACCACACAGCAAGGAAAAGGCGCGCAACCAGCCCCAGCAGAAAAGGTGAGCTCATGCTTTGGACAAGAATACCCCACGATTGCTCAAGCAGCACAATTGACAAAGACCCCGCTAAAGAGCCAGAATGCTAAACCTAACGGGACAGAAGCCACCCTTTTGGAGGAAAATATCGAGGACAACTCCTGGACACTATTCCAGAACAGGCGCCGCCGTAAACGCTCGCTGACGTCAATCGAAGAACCCGAGAAGAAAGCCGCGGTAATGTCCATCGATGACAGGCCAGAGAGTAAAACTACCAGGGCCATTGTCCTTAAGCCGTTATGTAAGAAGGCAGTAAATGGCTTCAGGGCCAGGGACATCAGGCAGGCTGCGGAAACGGCAGGAATCGAAAGCCAAGAGGATTTCAAAATCAAGTATCAGACAAAGACCAACACTATTACGCTCACTACGAAAGAAGAAGGCACGGCAGAAAAGCTGCTACGGCTTAAGGCAATAGAGAAAAAAGGCAAGCAGTACACAGTTTCCCCTACAGAGCAATGGAGAAGAACCAGATCCGCGGTGTCATATACCCCCCGGGAGACAACAGCGAAGAGACACCAGAGACGCTGCTCGCAGACATGAAATGCGACAAGGCAAGGATTGTCGCTGCCCGACTTATGGGTAAAGGCACAAGTGCGGTGTTAGTTACCTTCGAAGGTAACAAACTGCCCAAGAAGGTCGTCTTCTGCCAAGCAATCTTGAGCGTGAAAGAATACCGCCCGCGCCCGATCGTGTGCTTTAGCTGCCACGATCTCGGGCATAAGGCGGATGTCTGCCCTCGCAAGGAACGAAGGTGCGTTCAGTGCGGGAACATGCACGACGAAGGAATGGACGAGTGCGGCCGAGAACCAAAATGTCGTAACTGCGACGGCCCACATCCGGCCACCAGTAACGACTGTCCAAAAAGAAGAGTTCCCGACAAAAAGAAGATGACGCCCAAACCTCCGGCGCAAAATAAAGAGAGTTACGCTGCAGCTGCCAAGTTCATCACGGAGCGACCCAAGGCATCGGGGGAAAAATGATCAAGACGAGCTTCCCACATGGATACCGGAATGGGCGAAATCTACCCAACGACAACAGCCAAGCCAGCAGGCATCAGACTTCGACGCCGAGAAAGAGATGAATAAACTCAAGAACGACGTACACATCGGCTTCAAGATGATCTTCGGGGTCATCGGAGAGATAAAGGAGCTGGCGTTGCTGCGACATGGGAAGTAACTCCCATAGCAGTACAGGACAGGCCACCACGGAACAGACCCGCATTGTCCAATGGAATTGCTGCACATTTTCGACCAAAAGTGCAGAGCTGAGGTTGAGATTCGAGAGGCAGCCGCCGCCGGATGTACTCCTTCTTCAAGAAACACGAACCCCGAACCTAACGTTCCCCTGCTATGGTTTCTACACGAATCCGACCATAGTAACTATGCCAAGGCCGAGCGAAAGGAACCCAGAGACGAAGAAAGGCTGGGCAGCAGTAGCAGTCCTGCGGCACATACCACATGCTCAGCTCGATAAGGCGTCACTTTGCACTGGCAACAGAGAAGTGGTAGCCGTAAGGCTCAGTCACAAACGGAAGAGCATGACTTTAGCCTCCGTCTATATAAGACCAGAAACGGCAACGGAAGATGACAAGGAGGCAACGGCATGGATAGGCAAACTTGTCGGTCTAGCCGAAGGGGATCCGATTGTCATAGCCGGGGACTTCAACGCTCGACACAAAGATTGGGGGTACTCCAACAACACGAGAAAAGGCCGCCAAACTACACGCGCAATGAAAACTGCGGGCCTTACACTTTGCAATGAGCCGGGAACTAAGACAAGGATTGGAATGCACAGTAGGCAAAAGGACTCCACCCCGGACCTCTCCTGGGCCACTGCAAGCCTAGTGCTCGACTGGTCAACGTGGAGAGACAACCTTGACACTGAACACTTTCCGGTAGAAATGAAAATCCATCACGGACAACGCAACAGAGGCAAAGAACAAAGAGCAGTAGTCAAATGGGATCTTTTTAGGGAACTGCTTGAGACAGAGGACAACCGAGACATCGAGGAGTGCATTCGGACGGCTCTGAGCGAAGCGAAGACCAAAGTTCTAGTAAAGCCTGGAGCCCCAACACCGGACAATAACCTACTAAACCTCTGGGCCAGCCGTCTACAAGCACTGCAGCGGTACCGAAAGAACAGGACGCTGCATCTAAAAATCAAGCTCAAACGAGCAGCAGCGAAAGCGAGGCAGTACTCTAAAGAGCTCGGTCGCGAGGGGTGGAGGACCCATTGCGGGTCCTTCAACGCACGAAACGGGCTGGGAAGAGCTTGGAGAACTTACAATGGACTGAACGGAGCAAAGCGCAAGACAAGAAACGCTGCGCAGAACCTGGCCCTCAAGCTCAATATCAGCGAGTCAGAGATGGCGATCAGCGCTGGAGAATTGTTCTTTTCCCAAGAATGAGATAGCGCAAACCAGAGACCGGTTGCAATGAACATTCGCACGCCAGAAGAGGAAGGAATGGAAGACCCACTAAATATGGGAGAACTAATCGAGGCAATCTACACGGCGAAGACCGGTAGTGCTCCTGGCCCGGACAGGGTGACGTATCAAGCTCTCAGAAACCTACCGGAAGAATTGAAGCAGAAACTTCTCGACAAGTACAACATAGTATGGGAAGAGGGTATTCTACCGAGAGCCTGGAAACTCTCCTGGGTCACTCCAATACCCAAGCCCGGCAAACTGCTTGATCGCATTGAAAGTATGAGACCTGTATCTCTAACATCTAATATCTGTAAGACGATGGAGAAAATCGTGCTCAGAAGGATACAATGGTATTTGGAAAAACACGAACGCCTGGATCCCCGGCAAACGGGCTTTCGCGAAGCAATGGGGACACAAGATAGCCTCAGGTTGCTCTATGAGGAGGTGCTGGCTGAAAAAGACAAACAAGACCCACGGCTCGTGGTCGCCCTGGAGATACGCAAGGCGTTTGATTCAGTGCCGCACTGGGCAGTCGTCCGGGAGGCAAAAGCATGCGGTATCCGTGGAAGAACTCTGAACTTTATACGAAACTTCCTGCACGACAGGAGGCTCCAGGTGAAGATCGGAGGGACTATGGGCCCAGAAACGCCGATTAAAAGAGGAGTGCCCCAGGGGGCAGTTCTATCGCCGACCCTTTTCAATGTGGTAATGGCGGGTCTTCCAGCTCGGCTTCGAGTGATCGAAGGGTTGGGATTCACCATCTATGCGGATGATGTGACGCTCTGGACCCGAGGGGGATCCCTGGGGGAACAAGAGAGCACGATACAGCGAGGCATAGATGAAGTAGCCACCTACCTGGCAGAGGTGGGGATGGAAGCGTCATCAGAGAAAACGCAATATATGATGGTCGCTCGCCCTAGGGACCACAGGAAAGGAATAGCAGGCTCAGTACGGCTAGAACTCAATGGACGAGATATCGGCAAAAAGCCACATATCAGAATCCTTGGAGTCACCTTCGAGCAGACGGCAAGAAGCACGAGATGGATCCCGGAGATGGAAAAGGCGTGGGCTCAGGGTCTCAAGCTCATAAAGAAAACAATAAAGTCAGTCCTGGGGAGCAGATGAAAAGGCTCTGCGTATCCTCACAGAGGCCCTTCTCACGTCACGAGCACTGTACAGTTGCAACTGGATGAATCTCAACCAGACGCAATGGAAAAAACTCGAGAGACTTAACAACCAATCGAGGCGAGTAGTCACGGGCCTTCCCAAATACGCGCCACTCGAAATGCTAGAAAAGGAAGCACAAATGAACAGCATAAAAGACAGGGCCGAAATCCAAGCAATCGCTCAGTTTCAAAGGCTAAAGCGCACTAAACATGGACGCAGATTCCTGCAAGACCTAGGATACGAGACAAGCAACAAGCCGCCATTTGAAGAGGCGCTACCTCCGTGGCAGGACGAGGTGATAACGGATCATCGGCCTCTGCCTCAAGTTTTGAACCAAGGGAAGAGGGCTAGAGCCGCTAAGATGCACGCGGCATGGTGCGAAACACATGCGCCAAACGAAGAAGTACGGTACACCGACGCCGCAAAAAACGGTGACAAAGTGAAATCTGCCTGGCATGGCGCAAGGAGAGGCAGGACACAAACCGAATTACTGCCGTCGGGCACGACGGTGAGAGAGGCCGAATTGAGGGCGATATTGGTGGCGGCCCAGGATATCGCAGGAAAGAGCGCGACGGCACCTCACGCCAGAATTTTTACAGACTCGCAAGCAGCGATTAACGCAACACGCAGCAGCAGACCAAAGGGCCGAACAATAAAAAAGATTAAGAAAGTGGCGACGGAGCTTCGCATACGTGGCACCGACCTGCACATCACATGGCTTCCCGGGCACAGCGAAATTCCCGGGAATGAGAGGGCACACAGGGCCGCAGCGGAAGAAATATTTCACGGCTCCGCGACTGGCCCGACCTCTCATTCTGAAACGAATAACACGGTAGACCCGGAGGAACAGGCTGAACTTGCCAGGCAGTTCAGCCTGTTGTAGGTTAACGAAGAAATAAGCTCAGTCGATGTTCTCAGTATGAGGTCAAGCACAGCAGCAGTTGTTGAATTTGTGCGCGTCGGTTGCGTAACAGTTCGAGAAAAATTAAAATATAAACTAAGATTCAAAAACTCACTACATTCTGAAGAAACATTTCTAAGGTTCGCACCCTCGTCTAACCATGCTATAGATGGGTAGTTGAAATCATCCAGTGGTAGTATCGGTGTATTCGAGAAACGGACAAATACTGCATTGATCGCGTCGTAAAGATTCGTTAAAAACCAAGTTACATTATAATCTGTCCAGAGTAAAGCAGTCCGGTTCATATCAATCTACTTTTCGCCACAAACTAGTGTCTCACCTTTAAAAGCAAATTTGGGTCTCAATTCATGGTCGGCCCGACGCACACTTAACCGAATATGTTTCTTTCATGAATTATACTATAGTAACTCGTGCTTTTAAAACATCCATTTTCATTCCTCGCGTTATATTTATCCTCGAATCGATTATTCATGTAGAGTACAGCAGTACCAGCCACACACAAAATCCTTTTTTTTAACTTTAATATTATCGATTACAGAATAGAATAAATTGCCAGAAGAGATGGTTACCAACACAAATCCTTTGGAATGTAAAGCAACGTGCAAGCGCCTATGAATTGAACAGTCAAGGTCGTTCGATTACGGCTCCCCTTGGGAGCGGCCTGCCGTATGCTTCACTCCGCCAGTGAGAGCGATAGTTCCACTTTACCCCGGAGCAACGGCCGTGGCGCTCGTTATCGGCGAGAAAGGAGCAGTACGTCCAATCCGGCCCGGTGTGGCTATTTAGATTGTTTTTCGTGAAGCGGCAAGGTCTCAATTAAAACGAGTGCCATATTGCATGAGTGATGTGACAAATCTGTGTAGAATAAAAGCACACGTCTCTTTCTGCGATGAGCTCACTCAGCTGCAGGCTGCGCGTTAGAGCAACATTCAGCTGGCAGTATGAGTGAATAGTTGTTTAATTGTTCCCGTAAGTGGTGACCCATTTCTATTACCAGTTATAGTTGGATATAGCTAGGCCGTATATTTTAGGTTTTAACCAACGCTGGAGCACGCTCGAGCAGTGCCTTTTATTTATCTGTTAAGGACAATAAGAAACGGATTCCTCGTGCATAACTTCAACAAAACAAACTTCCTTCTTCACAAAGAGATCAAGGGAGTCATGTAGGTCACAAGCGGAGTACCTTTTGGAAAAGAGGGTTCCACGAAGGCCTCAATATATTCTCTAGAGAACTGTTAGGTCACCAGCCCAGTTTGCTAAAAGGGGTCCGTGGAGCTTCCTGAGAAAGAGCTCGCAGAGCTCTTTGCTGCGCGCCGAAATTGAGACAATTTAAGAAACTTGATCGGTGTGCACTGACAGTGTTTTCAAGAAGCTTAGCGCCGGCCACAAGGTCAGTTAGGTTGCAATATGACGAACGAACCTTGTGCAACTTTTCTGCCTTGAAAACTGCTTTTCTGGCATCAACTCGGTCGTTACCACCGTTGAACTGGCGGAAGCAGCTGAACAGAGACTCAACCGGGTCGTTGTTGAGAGGTCGCGGCAGAAATTACCTGAATCTGAAATGAAAAAAAAAAGAAGTGAGCAAACGAATACATTTTAGAAGCAAGTCTTTGTCTCGCAGGAACACTATTTTGCTTAAAACGTTTGTGCTCACTTGAGGTCAGTCAGGAGATACTCAATGACGGCGACCGCTGACCTGGTTGTCATTATAGTTGCCTCATAGGTCTCTTTCGTGAGGGACCTGACCAAAGACTTCGTACTTTCGAGTTTTATATCCTCGAGGTAGCTGATGATATCAACTTCAAGCCATGAGAGCCGATCGTCTTCTGTTTTCACGAAAGGCATTTGTTTGGATTTGCAGCCACAGATATCATGAAGGTCGTACCACATTCCAACCGTTTTCATAAATGTGAGGGTTGAACTACAATCCTGGAATTCTGGAGCAGGTACTCGAGGGTGTTGTTTACGACAGGTGAAAATATTAATGTTCCGCGGCACACTTTTATCTTCTCTAGATTGTTTGATTCCACATGAGCTCGGCTCAGAAGTCGCACTAGTTTGACCAACAGATTCTTCTGAATGTTCAAGAGGGATTTTAAATAAAAGCCACCTTTGATCATCTGTTCTCAATCAAACATCTCTCTTTCTAGCAGATTCGTCCTGAGGTTTTTGATGAGGTTATTGGGGTCAACAGAGAGGTTCAACGGTTAACCTTCACGTACCGGGTGCGGCACAACATGCTGGAGCGTGTTGTCATCAGACATCTGTCGATACATCGCGGTGTGGGTCTTGTGGTGGTCAGCGACGATGCGAGCTATGCTGAATCCTGCCTCTTCAACCGCCTACCTGACACCGAGCGTAAAAATCCTAAACTGGTAGTGTTTCAGATTTCTCGTAAAGAAGTAGCCGACTGGAATCACGTAAGCCTTGGAAAGCCCACGTAGCACGAAGCAAAGGATCCAGTTGGCTACTCCAGTGGCTCTAGATCGAGTTCCGCATCTGATGTCAACAAGCCCAAAAATTCTGTCAACTTGTCGATCACAAATCACTTTCTGCTGGATCGACATTTCGTCGATGATCAGTCTGCAGTAGGGCTCCTTTTCTGAGCGCAGACCTTCTTTCTCAACTTGCAGCCGTTCTTTGACGAGGCTTGTGACCCCTGTCTCTCCCACGGAAGACATGACAAACTTCTGCAACGTACTTCGGCAGGGCAGTTTAAGGAGTTTCTTTGCGCATACGTGGTCATATCCTTTACATAAAGTCGCTTTCCATAGTACGCATTTTCTGAGCGTTGGCTCCTGCCATGCTCATCTCGCCTTGTCGAAATTCATTATATGTTCCACGACAAATTTTGCAGTCTTGTCACCTTCCGATGCGGCTTTTGAAACAT